ATATTGTGGCACCCGTTGTGCCGTTCAATCATCCCACAGCCATCCGGCCTTTTCTTCTGTATCGTGTACGGACTAGAAGAGTGCCGAGTCGAAGGGAGTGTTTACTTCTCCGAAACCCCCCAAGGCAGATGCACCCTAAACTGCTTGTGGCGGGGTTCTGGCAAACAAGTGCCGCAATGTTCTGCTCTTTGCTCGGGTGGCGCACATGGAATGATGTTTCGAGATTACCATGGTAGTAGAAGTTAGAACTTAGAAGCTTGCCCAACAACCCCCCTGCGGCTCCGGTTATCTGGATGCATGCGACCATTGCCACGGGCGTTGCCTAATGGGGGTTTAGAGCTCCCAACATGCCCATGGTAATGGACTCATCAGGTTCTCTTCAGTCTTTACCACGTTGGTACTGGTAGAAGCCGGGGTACTCATTTCGTCCGGTGTTTCTTTCTTCGCGATGGAAGCCTCGATTTATCGCACATGGGACGCAAAGAAACTGGGACGACAAGCGTCTGTATCCAAGGCAGAGGGTGCCTCTGAGGGTAGTAGTGGCAGGCACACTCACTGCACGGAAAGCGACCAAAGAGCCAAAGCAGCATGACCAAGTCAATAAAGCACTGCCGCATGTGTTTGGCGCCGGTGCTTCTGTCCTGAGAAGGGGAAGGCTCGACGATGCTCACAAATCAAAATCAATGGTCTCCAATGGGCAATAGGGGGCATACCCCTTTGCAGCAAGAGGGTCAGGAAGAGCGTTGAGGGTGTAACCTGATGCGGCGGCTCAAGCCAGGAGGGGGGCACGGGGGATTGCAACGGGGTGGCTTTTTCGATGGTAGCGGCAACGCTAGAACGCATTTCGTCGCGGTGCTATGCTGTTATCAGCGCGCCAGGCGAGTACGTGTATGGTGAATTTGAATAGGTGTGTTTGTTGGGTGTGAGTGCGGGCGGGAACGTGGGACAGCAACAGTTCCATGAAGAGAGCAACGACGGACGCGATTCGGTTGCTGAACTGTCTCTGCAGATGATGAATGTGACCGGGTATCTGGTGTAGATGAATCATGGAGGTGAGCCGAGAGAACCGGGCAGAATGGATTGAAATGGACCAAAATGACTCGGCGTGCCAGTGGACTCTGGCTTCCGGGTAACCCGCTCCGGGACAGTACTTGTCTATCAGCGTCAGCCCATCTGAGCGGGCAACGACACCATGCGAGAGATACGAAAAACAGGCCGGAAAATGGTGTGAATGAAAAGGTATGTATTCGTAGTCCAGGCCAAGGTGAGAGAGTTCGCTGACAGCCTGACAGCAGCGAGACCACCGGGCGCCATATCAACGACCCAGTGAGGTAAAGTGTCATATAGTAGACATGTTATTAATGCCGTTTGCGCCCCCGAAACTACCGGCGGCCCCGGCCATGGTGTTCCTGTCCTCGTATACAAGTAGAGTGACTGTAAGCAACATGGGGAATAGCTCGCGAGTAGAGACTGAGAGCCAACTCGTAACCGGGGACCAAGCAGGACCTCAACGCCGGATGAGGATAAGACGAGCAGACGGTAGCAACCGGCCAGCGGGAAGGATGCGAAAAAGAACCGAATGCTGATGAAGTGAACACCGACCATAGACCTGGTGTCATTAGTATGAGTACAAGTGACATGAGGCATTCTCAGAGCAACAATGGCCCTAAAGACCGAGAATCAGGATCAGACAGACGAAACATGGCCGCACTGCACGCAAGAGCGAGCAAAAAGTGAGATACTCGCAAAGCAAATGTCAATGTGGAGGTTCCTGTCTGATGGTGGATGCATTCACGACTCAGACATTTCTTGGGGACAATCAACAGAGTGGGTGGAATAAGATAAGCAACAAGATTGAAGGGGCTGATTTTAAACGTCAAGAGGTCCAACCACGTTGAGGCTTTGGGATTCCCCGGAGCCGCGGGAATTAGACTGCAATCAAGGCTCAAACGTGACGCTGCAGCGCGTATTTCCGATATCGTATTCATCAAGGTATTGTGTGTGTTGTTCAGTGTTGCCTCACTCGAGGCGGATCGAGTATCCATGCACCCCAACCCTCACCGATTGAATGAGCGAATGAGTGAGAGAATAAGGGCGGGCGGTAAAGCAAAAAGGATGTTCCAAAGTTGGCAGTGTAAATTGGATCCGTGGAGGCGCCCACCCTTGCTTGTGTCTGGTGTTTTAGCGACGAGATCATCGCAGTGGGGGAGAACTCTGTCGCTGTTCCAGCGCTTGGCTTCAGCTGGTGTTGCGCCGGGAGTTTTGGGGAAGGGGAAAGGAAGAGGTTTTTAGTGAGAGACAGAGACAACTGCTGAAGGCAGCTGAGAAGTTGTCGGGCTACGGCAAGGAATGCAGGCATCATGCCTCTTGGGTAAACATGTCTACCTAGTTTGTGTTGCCAGGCACGGCACAAGCGGCCAGAGACATGTATAATGTATCCATCCGTATCACAGTTTTTTTATGTTGTTTTTGTGCCAGATCCACCTATCATCAAGCAGAGAAACGAAAGAAGGCAAGCGCTTGGTGGTCTGTGCTTTATGGAGCTTGATAGTGGAGAGTGACGACATTCAACATGGGCTCAGGGGAACAGGGGTGTGCTAGGAGCAGGGGAAGAGGAGCAGGGGGTTCTTGGAGGTACATCTTGGGAGTGACAGATCATCCGTCACCCATTCAAGTCTCTCACTCGAGTCCGAGACTCTTTGATGGAGGAAGAAAGACGATTGACAGGCTGTTGGTCGTGGGCAATGAAGAGAGAGGGAGTTGGCGGCGGTAATAAACCTTTGGGTGCCGCCGTGATGCCTGCCGCTTAGACAGCATTGATGGAATTGACAGACTCTCAGTCATTTCGACACGGCCGCGGGAGGAACGCAAGATTGAGATTGACGGACGCCGCGTCTGCTCATCCACTCACACAGCCGCATCGTTGGTTCGTTCTCGGGCACTTCTGTCGGTCCGTCCGCACGCTGCGTTTGATTTGGATGTTCGTCGAGACCCCTGCAAGCTCGACTACTGTGCGCTACCCACGACGCCACAGCTGGTCTAAGCTACATCAGGTCGAGCTCGGGATGGATGCGCCGGGCGCGCGCGAAGCGGGACTCCTTGGGTTGTTCTGCTGTGACTGGGATGTCGTGTCGACCCCGATGGGGGTTGTGGTTTTGGCATCTCTCTCGCTGAATGTCCGTCAGATGGAGATAATCAATCCCCCTGCCGTAGGGCAGTTTGGAGAGTCAGGGAAACCAGGTCCAAGATGGCGAGGATGGCGAAGGTTCGGCAAGCATCATATGAGCAAGACGAAAGTACTACGTACCGGTAGTCCCTTCTTATTGACTTCTCTTCGCACTTTGTCTCCTCGTTGTGTAAGTTGTGGTGTCGTGAGGAAATGCTTGTTATGCAATTCGACACAAGTGGCATAGATAGTCATTAGACCGCTCTCTGTATCTTTGTTAGCTCGCGGCTTTCACAAGACAGGCAGGAGGCGCAATTGCTCCTATCCCAATAGGAGGGCTCATGGCCGGCCGGCCGTCCACTGATCCGGATTGGATGCGAATGCAACGGTGAAGTTGCAACGTCGTTACACACATACTTGGGTACCATGTGCGTGTGTGCCATTGTGGTGATGGTCTTTGATATTTCTTCTGGCGTCTCTGAGTATGCATCGCTTTAGGTGTTATGAGCGGCACGCGTCCACGTATCAAGGCGGCTGTGGTTTGTCGCTGAGCATGTTCCATCGACCGCCACCATCACCGAGTTTGTCTCTGGCGGGCCATTCGCAAGCTCGCACGCGGGCGTAGCGCACAACATGCGAGAGGATGATCCACGGGGTCATGCTGTTGGGTTCTCAGCTGTCGTGTTCCACTCTGATAATTGGAGAGAAGAACATTGGCATTGGCACACCCAATCGGATGAAGGATGGGATGGCCTCTCTTTTTTGGGTGCAATTGGGATGGAAATGGGAGCGGAAGTAAGAGAAACACACGGAGAAGAGAGAGAGAACGTGATCGAGGTGAGCTGCTTTGGAAGCAAGAGCCCCCCCCCTCCGTCCTGGTTCCTTCCTGGTCCTGGTCACAATCAAATGGGGTCGTGTCCTTCCTGCCTGGTCCTTGTTGATGGCCCCGCTTCAGTCACGTCAAATCCACTTTTTCTTTTTTCTCTCCTTCTGCAAGTTCCAACCACCCGCCCATCGGGCTTTCCAAAGTTGCAGCTTGCTGGTGCTAATGGCAGGTGCTCCAAGTGTCTGCGTGCGTCGTTCTTGGATTTTGGTGGTCGTTGTGCCATCCATCCCCATTCCAACTTCCCAAGAAATCCACACCATCACCGTCTCGTCCCTAGCGTCTAATCCCTTCCCCCTTCGTCCTCCTCGGATTTCCCAATTGTGCCATTCTAAACTTCTACTGATACTCCCCATGCCCATGCCCATTCATGATCATCCACGGTATCCGTAGTCACAGTGACACCCCCCCCCCCAATCCCTACCTTGTTCTCGCTCCAAGAAAACAACCCGCAGCCGTGACCTAGCTTCTACCTCTTTACCTGTAACTCGTCTTCCTCGATCCACCTTCATTTTCGATATTGGAATCTTCTCTCCTTCTCTCTTCTTCCTTGCCTGTTCTCTAGCCCACGGTGTGCCTGCCTAGCTAGACTCCATTCGTTTTCCTCGCCTTTTTTTTGTGTCATTATCGTCAACTTTTTCATTTTCCCCCGTACGGAGTATTGCGAGTGTTCCCACCTGCTCTCCGCCTCCGCCTTCGCGCCTTTGTCTCTGTTGGTGAACTTGGTGAAGCCAGCATCCCCCGGCAAAAGCGAAAGAGAGAGAGACACACAAATCGTATAGAGAGGGGATACACCACCACCACAACCGCTTCGCTGCAGCTCTTGTCTGCACCCAGTCCCTCGTTTCCCTTCCTGGCCCTTGCTTGCTTGGGTCTTGCGTCTTATTCCTAGCTATTGTTGCTGCTAGCCTGCTGCATTTGCCCTGCTGCCGATGCCGTTGTAGCTGCACCTTACGAATTGCATTCTGCGTGTTGCTGCTGCTGCTGCTGCTGCTCGGCACCAACCACCAATTCCACCTCACTCGCTTGTCCACTTTCTTCCCTGGCCTTGTCTCTTTCCCTTCGCTTCCCTCCCCTTGGCGCCTGCTTCTTTTCTACCCGGGGCTGCCTGACCATCACCACTTCTCCAACATCATCCTCACTCACTTCACCTTTTTCCTCCACACCTGCTCCTCCTTCCCTCTTCCTCCTTCTCCCCTCTCCCAATCGGACCACGACCAGATCCCAAGGTCGACAACCTCCTGGACGACAAGACAGCATCAGCCCTGACTGATTGACAGACCCTGCGCATCCTCTACCCTCAGGCCACACCTTAATCGAGGAAAGAAGGACGCTGTTCATTATTGAAAGAGGGAGGACCATAATTATACTCGGACTCTTGCGCACCCGGTCGTCTCGTTGCTCTTGTCTCAAAGGTCCCCAATTCTTATCCTCAATCATTGCGCTAGTTGTCTCTAGGGGCAATCATCTCAGTCACTGGTCGGTGCTTGGCTACTCTCGGCTGCCAGTAATTATTCGCCGCGTTCACTTGGGCTTTCACATCCGAACCCTTTCGCCCTCTTTCCCCATCCACACTTGGCGCCAACAAATCTTGCACCAAACGCCACGGCCCGGCCTGCTTACCTTCTTATCCTCTTTTTTCTCATTCTCTCGGCTTCAACTTCGTTCGAGTCGGCACCTTGCGGCTTTCTCGCTCCCAACTTCAAGCAAAAAGAATCGATCTCCGAGACTTGGACCAGCTGTAGACCATAGTCAAGGTACTCGACGACCCCTGCGGTCTCCCGCTTGCCTGCTTGGCCGTGTAGGACAAGCACAGCATCTTACCTTTGGGAGCACCTTTTAACCTTTCCTCCCGCCGCCCACCGACCGATCCAGACGTCAGATGTCAGCCCCGTGAGCGTCTGACTCTGGCAAGTGTGAGTCCAGAGTCCTGAGAAACCCAGCCATTGGTCCCGAGGTTATTTTGTGAACCTAAAACTACCTCTACCCCCTCAATCTTGAATGTTTAAGCTGACCGAAAATCTCTCAGTACAATCGTCCACGGAGACGTAGCTATCATGACTTTCACCGAACGAACGACGAGATGCTTGGGCATCTTCGCCTTCGCGCTATCATCATGGGCGACGATGGCACAGGCTGCGCCAGAACCCGAAATCCTCATGCCTCGACAATTGACGCAGAACCTCTGCTCTAATACGAACACGGCATCCATGAGCGCCAGTATGTTGTAACCTCAAAAGAAGACATGATTTGGCAGCACTGCCCGAGGCTTTCAACATCCTCGGCCAGCCCTGTTTTTTGTCTCCCGCTACCTAGCCGTACACAATGGCTAATTTACCTCTCTAGACCTCAGCACGTGGCAGACGAATGGACTCTGCACCGACTTCTGTCGAGACAAGAACTATGCCTTTGCCATTGTCCAGTGGCAATCCTGTTGGTGCTCTGATGTCGCGCCGGCCGCGTCCAGCGAAGCCGAAGTCAGCGACAAATGTAACGATATCTGCCCCGGCTATGATATCGAGCACTGCGGCTCGAGGCCCAACTACTACGGATACCTTACGCTGGCAAAGGCTCCTACCAGCACCGCCGGCAGCGGAGGTGACAGCTCGTCATCGTCCAAGGCAGCGGCCAGCACTACCGCACAACAAGTGAGTACACCCCCCATCGCCATGTATCGTGAATTGCATGCGTGATTCTGCGTGATCTCCACCCACTACACGATCCCGATCCTCATCCCCAGACTCCGTCGTCTCACCTCCACCACGTGTGATGCCTTGGCTTAATCGTCTGGAACCCAGGCATCCCCGGCCCCGCCTGCAACAACCGTACAAATCATCACACAAGTAAAAACTGAGACAATTCAGAACACAGTCACGCCCGATCCGGAAACGACGACGACGTCAACAACAACTGTATGCTCTCAAAAGTCCCAACAACATGCCGTGCCCGTAAACCTGCATTTGATAAATGAGGGGGTGTGTCACTGACACGAGTAACCGCTGACTGGAATTCTAGACTTCGAGTAGCAGCAGACCGAGATCGACGGTTCAAACGGTGACAGCCGATGGAACCGTGAGAACCATCTTCGTCACGCCGACTGCGACGGGGACCGAAGGCGCAACAGGGGCTTCCGAACTGACGCCCGGCAACCAATCATCGTCAAATGGACCCAGCACCGGTGCTGTTGTTGGAATCGTGGTCGGTGTTATCGCCGCGGTCGTGGCCATTGCAGGACTGGGACTCTTCTTGTTCTTCAGACGTCGGAGACAACAACAAAACGAGAACAACAAGTACGACGAGCCTAGCCACCGGGGTAGTTCCGCCGGCATGACCGGTTCGCCACGAAACCCCGAAATGGTTGTTACCGTCGATGGAGGAAGATGGGATCCCGACGCCTCAAGCGACCATCGCCGAAGCCGCCTTCTCGCTCATGACCCTCGCCTGGATCCTCTCCCGAGAGGCCTCTACGTGCACAACAAAAGTGCAGAGAGTATTAACACCCTACGCGACGACCAAGATTACTCCCGCAAGGTTCACCAGCCGGTTTTGCGGGCGACCAACCCGGATCCTGACACTTGATAAAAGTCGATGGAACAATCGGGCGGACCAAGACGACGAGATGTCATGCACTCGTTTACGACGTACACGAATTCGGTCTAGGTACCAATTTTCGGTCTTCGCATTGCGTTTTTGAGATACCAGGACGGCGTTTCCATTCATTTCACGACTCTGCATAGAAGGATCCTGGATTGGGGGCCCCCGCGGCAACACGGGCGTGATAAGGTCGATCAATTGAGATCGACATCCGCCGCAGTATATTATGAGCATCAGGCCACCGAGCACGAACACGAACACATCACATGGGCAACACTAATGCAGGGGACGACGGCTGCCATAATTTCGATTCTGTATCTCCTGCCTTCAATCGGTGGTTTGGTCGTCGACGACAGCCCACAGGCAAAGCCCAAAATCGGCGGGTTATCGTTATTAGGCCGAGCTCAGTGATCATAGACGAAGAGCCCTGCTTTCCCGGTATGAGAGTCGAGCTACGACTCTTAGTTCTTGGGGTATAATGATAGCGACATTTGTACATACACGAACGGGCCATGAGCCAACAGCAAGACGACTCTCAGAAGTCGACGACGGTTGGATGGGCGAGATTGGTTACAGATGGTAGCGGTTTTAGCACCATTCCTCTTTCCAATGGGCACACACCTATGGGTGACGATGCATCCACAACACGTAATCGAGTGACTCGGGACTGCGGAGGTTGCACGAAGCTGGTCGAGCTGAGCCCAAGATGGAGACATCACGTCGAGGTTACAGACTGTGTAGCCTGTCACCGGATGTTTTGGGCGACCAAACAGCAGACTGCACAATGGTCACTGAAGCGAAAGAAAAGTTCTATAGCTAGTTGCGACATTCAATCATAATCACAATTGAACGCGTACGCATGATGTATGTCTACGCCAGGCGGTGTACAATAGGCAAGCGATGACCATGAGTCTCGTGTGAAATCAACCGCCGCTGTCTCGGGCACCCTCCTCGCTGGATCGGACCGGGGCCGGCAAAAAAAAAAAAAACAAGGCTCGGGCGACTCAATTGTGTGTGCGTATCGGTTACGGGCGTACGGGGATAGACGTTGCCACATGTTGGATCATGGCACGAATGGCTACGACTGGGCACAGGGCATACAGGGCACAGGGATTTGGACTTTTGCCAATTGCTTGTGATTGTTCGCGTGAAAGCCTGGTTCCAGTGTTGGCCCAGGGTTGGCCCAGTGTTTGGAGGACAAGGTTGCCGAAGGATTCTGTTTGTGCGTGTGTGTGTGTGTGTGTGTGTGTGTGTGTGTCTTGACGCTTGTGTATTACTGAAAACCTACCGAGTAGAGTCCATGGGATAGTTGTGTAAAGATTAGTGGAAGATGGAGGGTCGGAAGCGATGCAGATAGGTTCGCGGCCGGGGGGGGAGGCGGAAGCAAGGCGAGGTCGATCGCAACTTTTGATGTGGAGATCTGTGTTTTTTTTTTTGACAAGTTGGAGGCAACGGAGGAACAACTGAGATGGATTCCGTCATCAGATCCTTCGATTTTAGTCTCTATAGGCAGTGGTTTCTTCGGAGTCTCACGTAGTATGAATAAGAGTGTTGGAGGCGCGTGCCTGGGTATTGATGTCATTGGTGATTTTGGCGTCAAGAAGTTTTGGGCGGGTGGACGTGGTTAGATGATGATTTAGGTGCTGCTGTTTCATTAGATTTAGGTGGGTGTTTGCGAAAAGCTTAGCGTCCATGTCGTTTGAATGGGAGAAGGGAGGTGGAGGGATTCCGGAGTGGGTATGATCTGATTATCTGGATTCTGGATTTCAGGGTGTGTGTGGAATGAATGGAGACCGTGATTGCGATTGATACGGGAAATACGGATACATTTCACATGCCTGGCTGTTGCTGACTACTACAGGCCGTCGGAGTTGATAGTTGGTCAGAAGCAAAGTCCGGTCTACGTTTTGTTGCAGTGACAGACAAGACTGGTTAGTAGGCTGACCGAGTTGATGCTTAATAAGAGGACGTGATCTGATGATTCCATGTGTATGTTGGGGTTTGTGTTGCTGGTTTCCTGTGTAGTGTAGATCTTCCCCTTTTTCCTAGTATTTCGGATCGGAGGTTTGAGATGAGGCTCAATCGAAGCCGCTGGACGGACGGACGGACGGACTGGCGTCATGCGCGAAATAGTATGCAGGATTCGGAGCGGACTGGCTACACTAGAGCAATTAGTCTCTTGATGATCCGACGCGTTCCTTCGCGGATAGCTTCCAAGAAAGGAGGCGTCGATGGTGGCACTATTCTTCCCCCCTATTTCACGAGGACAATCGAGTAGGTACTATGTATGCGTTTGGACTGCACTGGGCATCTTATGGTGGTTTGGAGGCGTCCATGTTTAAGTGGGATAAGCATACTTCCATCGGGCGTGGGAGCCGTGGGAGCGAGGGAGGATTTTGGGGGGGGGGGGGGGGGTCGATGGGAGGCTGCATGTTTCGAAACAAAACTGGATGACGGGGGAAGGAGGGGGAAAAGTCACTTGGGGCTTTGGGGCTGAATAGTGGTGAAATTGTTGTTCGAGATGTGGGCGTTTTAGGTTGGTGGTACAAAATCGCAGCCGAAACTGAGTTTCGGGAGTGAGAGACATTGAGCATAGGTAAGGTAAGATGAGAAGGGGGAATAGATACCTACCGAAACAAACAAAGAGCCATGAACAACACATGTCATGAATGGCACGCTGCATGAGTTGTACAGAATATGGTGTTTGCTCGTTGGATCATGAAATGTGAAGAAGGAAAAGGACTAGGGGGGGTGTTTGATGGGAGAGAAATACGCGGTCGGTATCCGTATACGAGTAATAGGAACCAGGAATGTTTGTTTGACTCGTATTTTTTGATAGAGAGGAG